TGCTAATGTTAATATTTTTCAAATTGTGAAAGAAAAATTTATAAGCATATAATTATTTTTATTATATTTTCGAAAAGCATCGATGGCTGATTGATTAGAAAGAAACACGGATCCTAAATAAATTAAATTTTAACTTCAATAGTTATTTAATTTTTAAGATATTAATAAAAGTCTTTCAATACTACACATTAAATAGTGTTTATTCATATGCATTCATGATCAGTATTATGTATGTCAATACGTATGAGTCAGTATGTATAAGACCATTGATTATCTGATGTTTTTGTAAACATCGTAACCAGCATTCAATATATAATGTATGAAAAAAAATCATCACACATTATCTATCCACAAGATTGGATGGAATGCGAAAATAAAATAATGTAATATAAAGCAACCTTTGGACGATCAAAATAATTGAAATTACAATAATAATTTAATATTAATCTTATATTATTTATTATTTTAATTTTATTCATTAATTTCGATTGCTCAAAGATTGTTTTATATTTTATTTTTATATTTATATTATATTCGAAATATTCATAGAATATTCAAGCTTGTTATGAATAAATGTTAAATGCGATAGATATTAGTTCATCTGTTATACATTTTGAATGTTAAATTTCATAATATTTTATATAAATAGATGAATTGTAGGTAAGACACCTTATAGATAGCGGCGCCAAAGAGAATAAATAAAATTATAATCTTATTAAGACGTTTAAATTACCAAGATTCAACTGTGATATATCTTTCTTTTATTCATACAACGAAGATGTTCTATTCTCGTTTGCTTATATGTTTATCGACCACGAATTTTTAAATACTGTGATGCAGTCAGTGGTTCGAAAGAAAAAGGTATAACGCAGCGCGACAGAAAATTTTTATCGTCGGGCATGACATTTACGAGACCGTAACGTACAACGGACCAACGCCGTTTAATCGTTATTATCCGGATATACGATTCAAAAAAAGAAAAAGTTAATATTCACAACGTTATCGATGCACCCGTCGGTGAAATTGTTTGTACACCTGCCGATGAAATATCTCTGGGAAAATCTTTATATATTTCACTTGACATTTAAAATTATATAGAATACTAAATGGAATAAAATCTTAAAATTATATTAAGTAGAATAATATTGTAATTAAAAAAATTTAACAAAATTAAAAAAAATATACAAAAATATATACACATATATATTTTTTATCTTTTTTCCAATTTTATATAACGTAATAAATTACAAGCTGACAGGATAGCCATTAAAAGTATTATAATGCTCTATCAGTAAACGTCACAAATCATCCCGGGATTAAGCGCTACTTTCAGTAATACATTATTACGACCGCGTGATTTAGAGACAACATAACGCATCTATACACACTAAACACTCCTAGACTTAACAACGAATGCTTGACCACAAAGCTACCCGTCGAGAAATCCTCAATTATTAGTGGCTTGAGCTAATCTCTATCGTCGAATTTATTACTCATATCAATAGGCTTCTGGTTTAATTGCATTTATGTGCATAAATCATAGCAGATTAATAAATTGTCAACTGGAAGCGCAACGAAATTTAAGAAACGAAGCCTCGAATAGCGGGCTTTTGAACGAGATTTAAAACTGACACGCGTAGGGTATGCGCAATCAATGTCAAAAAGAATTTCACGAGAGGATCTCATCGAAAGTATTCCAAGCGTCATTTCGTGCGCAACCCGTCATCTCGAACACAAAGTACTTACGTACAAATCAATCGATGACAACTAGTCTTTTCATTTAACACATTTTCTTTAATAATTATTTATTACTTATTAAATTTGATAATAATTTATTTAATTAGTGATTTAAATTACAACTTCTATTATAATATTTTTTTTCTTTTTATACTTAGTAAAATTATGATCTCTGCAATTAAATATTATATTATATTATATTATATTAATTTTCTTTTTACTATTTTTCGAGATTATGTTGATTTCATTCTATTTAAAGTTTAAATTTGATGTATTATTTAATTTATATAAATAACATTAACATGTACTTTTAACATTGCCAAAGATCATAGTATTAAGATTATCTCGTAATCATATTTTTGGAAAATTAACTTAAAAAAAATATTTGATGATTTATTATACGATATTATATATAACATAACTTAAAATATTATTTCAATTGGAAGTATATATATCTAATAAAAATTTGTTTTTGTGTATGTATGAATAAATATCTCATTGACTATTTTCACATTATACATAAGCTTATTCTTGACATTCATAAAAAGTTGTCGATATAGGAATAAGCTTCTAATAATACATCGATAACATAACCTATTTATTTTTTTCACGCTATTTATTAACAATTTTTCTAACCAATATATAAAAAATACTTTTTCCAAATAAAATTCTCAGAATTGAATATATGATCTGCGTTCAGTAACAAAATTTAATTAAAAACCACCGCTCAAAAAAATTATTCATCTATGTTGGAAATCGATAGTTTGTATGATCCAAAATTCGCCGCGATTGTGAAATGAAGAAACACATATCAGCGACACGTGCTAACGTTCTACTTTCGATATTACGAGTGCCATGTATAACACGAAATATATAGACGCGCAAAGAATTAGATCGCGTGAGGAACGTGATAATTTTAATGCTAAAATTAAAGAATAGCAGAAATGTTTCATATACAAATATTTATCAATTAAAAAAAGAACAAAGAAAACAATATGATCATTTCTAAATTAATAATATTTTTAATAATGACATATGAATATCTTCTTGGTTCTAAACGCGAGGCACGTGCTTTGCAAAAAAAATGGAAAAGAGTAATGGATGAGGGCACCTGTTACGACTCGCGATACATTATTTCACAATATTCCGAATGATCTCTATTAAAGTGGCGAAATGGATCATTTATGATTAGCAGAACGTGTTTATACTTTTCACGCAAATAAGATTATCGTGGAGTACACTTGTTTGTAAAAGAATACGCCCATCCAGTAGTAATAAGTGAAAAAACAATGAAAAGATGCACTTGAAAAACAAACGAAGAGTTAATAACACGATGAGATCGTTGTATTCTTTCATTTTATTCGTTTAACATGTTTTGACAAGTAACTGCAAAGTTGTCTTTACTCTATCAATATACGTAATCATAAGAAAAATAAAACAATAACCTTAATACGCGATTAATAAGATGTTAAAATGTAGATGTATCAACGAATCATTTTAATTTCCATTGAAACTGATAATTTGACATTTAATACTATTTATAGGAGCTGAACATTTTGAATATATAAATGAATGAGATATGAAACAAAAAAGGAAATATACTTTTTGAGATAAACGAAAAACCAGTCGAAAACATTTAGCAACAATAAACTAGCGAAAAGGGTGGTGCGACATCTTTTGTAGCGTGATGGTAGATCTTCCGAAATTGATCGTACTTCGCAACGCGCATACTCTCATTACTACTTGCATATGACAATAAATGGACTTTTCCCCCATGGGAAGATAGAACGTACATGTGCGAACGATTGAGTAACAGAAACATCATTTACGATCCGTAAATGAATCAGAATTTTTCTTAAAATCATGAAATAATAGAGCAAAAATTATACGATAGAAAAGGTTGAGGGTGCGTCTAGTTCTATACGAAAATATCAATAAATAAGTATTTCTCTCTTAGGGAGAGAGAACAAAACAATCACAATATACACACATCGTGAATGTTAAACTTGCTATTCTTCTGATGTATACGCACGGTCATCGATATCGTGATATGATTTCATTTAGTTATGCTGTAATACTCACCGTTGATGCGTTGTATATTAAAAAGATAGAATCCAATAACAAAACGAATAAGCAATATTATCCAGTGTGGTCGATGATTAGATGACCGGCACTACGATGCACGCTCGACAATGGCTGGCACACATTAAGTACACTGATGCACTACTTGATGTACACGCACTCTTCACCGGGCAAAAGCCACTGATCAAAATGAAAAAGCGGCAGTTCGACACACACGAATTAAATTCACTGATCTTAACTAGCTGATAAGTCGTTTGTTGATTGCCAGCGTTTTGATCAAAGAATCCCAACCACCTCCTTTACTATCCTAGGCCCACGGTGGCCATTACACTCGTCGCCGCAACAAGAGAGCGTGTTTTCCTTTTTTCCAAGGGGATCAACAACTCGCCCGCTCCGAGGCCGTGGAAGCGACTGTTCTCGGGAGATTCGCGGTGCGGTCTCATCGACCAATCGTGGACCAGCTTTCACCGAGCGCCATCTTGCTTAGCCGAACACAAAGGGGCCAAAACCCGAATGTTTGCGTAAATGTCCGAACCTTAACCACCCCTACTATCCGATCGACGTATCTCTTCTAGCTTTTCTCATCCCTAACTTTCAATACGGATTTTATTGTAGGATTACCCGCCCTTCTTTTTTTCATTTCGTATAAACCAATTCGAAACGAAGAATAATAATTTCAATAATGAATTTCACAATGTTATAAGATTATTTTTCATTCTTTTTAAAATTAAAGAATATTCATTAAACACTTCTAATTATTATTAAACAATCAAAGAACATTCGAATACTTTTTTCATTCTAATTTTAATTTTAAAATACTAATTGTTTTATGTTCTGCAATTTTGTCATAATTGAAATTGTGTTTTCTGAATCCATTAAGAATTTATTTAATTTAAAATAAATTTAATTTTTTATAAAGAATTAGATAGTAAAAATATTTTATATATAAATGCTTAAAAACAATACTTTTTTAAATATTTGAGAGAAACTAGTAACGCCATCATTGAGAGAAATGGAAAAACATACTCTGTCGGTAATGTTATAATATTTAGAAATGATACATATGAAATTTTGGAGGTTATGGTTCATGAAATCAAGGTAGTTATACTTTTTTCTTAATAATATTTATTTTGTTTGGTAAATAATTTTAAATAATTTATAATAAATATTTTCAAAGATATTTATATTTGTGCACATTTATTTATTATCAGTAAATAAAAAAAATTGAAATAAACAATTATTAAACAATGGAAGAAATGAGTGAAAAGAATAAGAAATGGACTGATGAAGAACGATTAAAACTTGCTTCAAAATTAGATGATGAACTCGATGAATATATAAGTAATTTAGAAAAAAAAAGTTATACAGAAGGATGGCCAGAAGATCAGTGGGAACAAGAAATGGAAAAACATCCATTTTTTATGAAAAAAATACCAGAACCTGGAGAAGAACTTTCACCCTTGATGGAAGGATTGCAACAGCTCAAATATGGAGAAGATGAAAATACGCCTGAGGGTTTGAATTTATTTTTAAAATTTAATTATCTTTTAATTATAATTTATTAATATAAATTTTATATAGATATTAATAGTATTATAATTGTGCATGTGTTTTATAGAACTTGCTAATAATTATAAAGAAGATGGAAATTTCAATTTTAAATATAAAAAATATAGATTAGCTATTCTGAGTTATACAGAAGGCATAAGAACTAAATGCAAAGATGTTGATTTAATGGCTCAGCTTTATAATAATAGAGCTGCTGCACATTTTATGTTAAAAAATTATAGGTATACTTTGATTTGTTGTTAGATAATGGATTGATTTGTTATAATATTAAGATCATTTTTTATCTAAATTATAGATCAAGTTTAAATGATTGCAAACTAGCTTTGAAATTAAAATCAAATTATACAAAAGCTTTAAATAGAGCTGCTACTTGTTGTTTATATATAAAAGATTATGATAATTGCATTGATTTTTGTGATCAGTTACTTGATGAATCTCCCACTGATAAAATAATATTACATTTAAAATCACAAGCAGTTGCTGCAAGAGTAAGACATATATAATATTATACGAATTTGATAAAATATTTATATATATAATACATATATATATATATATAATATATAGATATAATTCATATTTGAATATTTATAGGACCGTTTAAAAAGAGATAAAAGAAAACAAGATAGATTAGAAAAGCAATTAAATAAAAAAGAAGAAGAATTATTAAATATAATAAAAAGAAATAAGATTAATTTAGAATTGATCGAAGAAAATAAAAATCCAGATTTAAAAGATTTAGAACCTCAAATACCACAAATAGCACAGAATAGGGTTCATTTGGATGCACAAAATAAGCTTATTTGGCCAGTTATGATTTTATATCCAGAAACACAACAAACAGATTTTATACAAAATTTCCATGAAGATACATTGTATGATTTTATGTAACATAAGTATTTCAAATTATTTAAAAAATTAAAGACTATTTCATGTAAATTTGCTTATTTATAGATTGATAGAACAATTAGAACAGTTATTTAATGAACCACCTGAATGGGATTCACAGAAACGTTATATTCTTCAGAATATAAATGTTTATTTTGAGGGTAAAGATAAAAGTTCTTTATATAAGGTAGACATTGATCAGTCTCTAGGGAAAATATTGCAGAACGAGCAGTAAGTGTAAAAATTAGGAATTAAAAAAAATTAAAATCTCAAATAATTATAAAATAAAAAATTTCAGATTTATAGTACGAGGAGGTACACCAGCATTTTTGATATTTGTAAAGTCTAGTGAAGCAGAAAAACGATTTTTAATGAATTATTAAATTATTCTTAATGAATTATTAAATTATATATATTATTTTTAAATTTATAAAAAAAATAAATTTATAAAAAATACATAAAACTATAATTATTAATTATTACTACCTTTCCCCTAAATTAAATTGAAAGAAAATATGAAAAAAAACATTATTATTTCGGAAAAAAATTTAATATATTTCCTCTAAAAAATAATTAATATAAATAGATTCCATTTTATAACTAATATAAATGTAGAGGGACCGATAATAGATGATTGAGCAGTGGTGCCATCTGTAACACCTGCCAGAGCCAAATGGGCATAAAGAGTCAGGGCCTGAGTTAGAAATTCAGTTCAAGAGACGCTCTAGAACGTGTGAATGCGTCTTGAAGCGGTTGCATTTCTAATTATTACGACAAATTTGTGTTAATACAGTGATGAAAACGTGTTGTGTTAGAAAGACGATTAAAAAAAATTAATAATTTATTAATGGATGTTGAACATTAATTAGTTCAAATTTGAATTGTGAAATAAGATTTTTCAACGTGGAAGAGAAGCGGAACGGGACACAAATGATGCCAAAGCAATGCAGGCAAAATTTTGTACTTCTTCATTTCTTATTTCTTCAATAATTTCTTCTGTAGGAATAGATTGTTAGTATTTTTTAATAATTAATATTATATTTAATCTGTAAATTTTATATTGCATTATTATAAATTGCAAATGAAAAATATCCATTTTTCTTTCCATGAATAGAAATTATATTTAAATTACTCATGCTTCATCTAATCTTAATTCGAGAAATAAGATAAAAGTTCATGGAATTATTAAATGGATGAATTTTTGATTTTTATTTTTCAAAAAATGATGTTGCTAAAAAATAAATTTAATTTTACAAATAATATAGCTCTTTTATATTAGCAATTAATTTATTTTTTATATAATTTTACATTTCGTTAACTTTTATTGTCTTATTGAAAGTGAATCGTAATCATGTAGTATGCAGATCCATTTTAATTTCAAGTGATGTGGAATTGCAGTTACATAGAAATGGTGACTGTTGCATCGTGTCGATATTGCAAGATCGATAAAAATCGCACGCATCCGGGTTTAACAATTTTTAAAAATAAAAGCCATGGGTGACCGAATGTAAAATAAAGAAAAAACGTATTCACGGAGTGAATCAGTGTCAGATACGTTACAACTGACGTGATGTTATTAGTACATACCAATGAAACAATGGCGTGTTAAATTATTCATGAGGTCATTGTTGCATCGTGCAGATTCAAACGTCGAGCAATTTGAGGTGCGACAAAATTGAAATTCACCAAAATTCAATCGTAATTATTAATAACTTCATCTTATTAGTTCTATTTAATTAATTTGTTAACAAAAATTAATTATATCAAAATTATTATATATTTTATGCTATATAAAAGTATTTCGTGAGAAAAATTCCATGATAGAATTATTTCTAAAAGAATCATTAAGAAATTATATTATACTTACTCGTGACTATCTTTCTCTCATCGTTTGTCTCTCTTTTTTTTTTTATTTTTTTAAGATAGTTATTCTTAGACTCAGATAAATGGATTTAATTACAATAACAAGAAAGTGGGAATTCGAATATATTTTTTAATTTATATTTAATCGAATTAAAAACTTTCAGATAAAATTAATATTAGAAATATAATAATTAATTATGTTTTATTTTTATTCTTGTCACATCGCCAAGATATATCTATTCTAAATTAAAATAAAAAAATATATCGTTGCTTGGCATTAATAGTAATACATTTCAAAAAATACAATTTTAGAGTAGAACTTTTTAAAATTTATATTTTTAAAAAAAATGAAAATACAATATTAATCACCATATCAATAGACCATATTAATTATTATTGTTATCAATTATTATAATTATATAATAATTATTAATTATTTTTTATGTTTATTAAGAATGAAATAGATATTCTTTTTACAATACTTACGTACTAATTTACGGTTGTAAATATATCATAATTTATCTCACAAAAATTCATAAATCCAAATATATATAATATCAATTGACGACATTTTTCAATGTAAAATTGATGATAAAATTATATTTAATGGCATGAATCAATCGATTTTCTACCTTCATTATCTTCTAAATCGTATTACGAGAGTTGTGAGCGAACAGAACAAGAAACACAGGTTGGTCTCGAGGAAGTGGTGGGATGATTACGTGTCCTAGTTTCGCAGGCTATAGTGGACCACGATGCATCTTTATCCGATGCCCTGAAGCAAATGGCCGGTATACATATGTCGAAAGAGTTGCGATAGGCGAGAAGAAAAATCTGCGAATCGGACCGGTTGTAACAACGAGTCAATCTACTAGAGAGGAAAAAAATTCCAAGATATCGTGTGTGAGGTTCACATTACGTTCAGAAAGACATACCAAAGATAGCTATCTCGGCTCTGTCGATGTACGTCAGTAAAAAGAGAAATTCTGTAGAAAGAATAGATTAGTGAGAAAATACCGTATATACAATGCAATTATATTATATACGCGATATATATGAAATTCAACGAAACTTAATTAATCTTTTTTTCCTCTTTTAATATATCTATACGGAATATATAATTATTATGATTATTATTCATGCAATTTCGTATGAAATTTTGTGTAAACGCTCTAAATGCATATTTTTCAAAATTTCTGCACTTTCTCCTTTGCTCTAATTATTTTATCTATAAACACGGCCAAGATACTAAGAGAATAACATCCCTTGTTTATTCTTTTCTAATGTTATATTATTATATCTTATTGTAATTAAATGAAACAATTAGAAAAAGGTAAAATATCAAGGATGAAAATATCAAATCGATAATTTTCTCAGATCATTTCGTCTCTCTATCCATTTTTTGATCTCACTTAATTTTTTCTAAATTAAAAAAAAAAAAAAAAAAAAAAAGAACGATCGAAACGAATGAAACAATGTCTCAATACATGAACAATGTGGACAATGCCACAATAGAATTATACTTTTGCGTTCCATCTCATGCAAAACTGTCACGAACAGATTCGTGAATTCGGATCGTCGGTGACTCTCTCTTTGTTAATCTGTCTCTTTCTCTATTTTTCTGCTTTTCGTTTGTTCTTTTCTATGAGCGATGATATTTCACACGAAGCTATATAGATATACGTATATGTATATATAAGTATGTATGTAGCTGCATCACGACACGGTCTAACGGCATTCAGTCGACCTCATCATCCTGCTTCTCTACATTTAGTCACATACATTCTTGCATTTTCCTTGCTCTTATATTACTTTTACCAATTTCTGCTTCTTTCATCCGCGTACCTTTGTTCTCTTACTTTTTGCTACTTTTCGTTCTTTTCTGTCAGCCATTCTCTGATCGACCTTTTCTCTCACTTTTTCTAGCGACGTTTGCTATTTTTCTCTCATATCTGTGATTCCTTCGTCTCTCCTGCCTATTTTCTCTTTGTACGTTCCATATATCTGTTCGCGACAGAAACTAAAGATACTGAAAAAAACGCTGAATGTTCTTTTAATAATGGAGATCAATTCTAATTATTTCATCTTCTCATTTATATGATTAAGCATCTGTTCATGTTCATCTATATCTATTGGGAGATTGTAAAATAAACTTAGCGAAAGTTAAATTGTTTTGATTGTTGAATATAGACTACGTTAAAAATGTCATTATGATACTATTCGTGTTGCAGATTGATGCAATAATTTAAGACCATATTGTTTGAACAAAGTAGAAAAATTTTTAAGAATTGATTAGAAATTGAAACAAATAAAAAATTAGTATTTAATTTATTAAAATATTTTTCAAGTTATAAATATTTAATTTTTTATTAAATAAAAAGACAGAAAATGAAATGCTTTGCTATATTTTATGTATCTTTCAGTTTCGTTTTATTCAATATCTAATCCAAGTATAATCTAGTAAATGAAATTATTTATAATTTAATAAATAAGTTTCAAGTAAATCAACTTTTGTTTATTTTTTATTCTTTAAAATTATTCTTTTCTAGTTTGTTCAAATACTGTAATATACATTATACATTATATGTATACCAATGTATATTGTTCAATTAATATATCTATAACCCAGTTGGTAAACTTATAATTAAATTTTAGAAGGAGTTATCTATTAGCTCATTTAGACTTCTGAAATGATATTTACATCAGTTCTATAGTTTAAATGCTTATAAAATAAATTATGCATATACATAAAGATTACATCTGGTAATTATATTTCATACGATATTTTTTGTAGAGATAATATAAAACGTATTAGAAAAATATTTTAATCGTCCTGTAATTATAATATTTTCTTATCGATAAAAAGAAAAATATCTATTAAAGCGTTCATTTATCCTTGCCAGTATCTCGGTATAAGCTGGTCTCAAGATAGATCCTGCGGGTCGTTATCGTTTTTCATTAACATAACAGGTATTAATGTCAGCGATATCGCGTCAAGGTTTCGATTACGAAAATCACCGTGGCAATCATCGAGACTAGTTTCGACCCAATTCGTTCTCTTTTTCAGCCGCAAAAACATCGATCGGTTATCCAAATTGCTTAGCCAGAAATTTATTCGTTTTTTATTTTATCATTAAACAAACTGGTGCCAATATTTTCACATTATGCACGCTTTATTCGGTGCGAATTAGTTCAAATTATACTTATATATTTCCGACCAATGTCCGTTCGGAACAGGAACGGACGATATAACCTTAAACAATTTGTAAAAAGTGATGCGCCTGCGCAATACACGGACGTGTGAATGCAATATATTACGTTCGTGCAATTGCTGTTCCAGTTACGTCAAGAATGCTACCCGACGGCGTTGTTCATGAATGCCAATGTAAACTCATTTTAAGAACATTGAAAAATAACTGGGATAAAAGGAATGAAGAAAAAAGCAGGATGATGAATCAACACCGTTTGGACATTGGGAATGGATCATGCGTTTGTTAGGTGAAATCGTATTTCGTTATAGATTTGCTGTTGGCAAGACACTTAAATTATTCAATAACGAAAGGTTCATTATAATATTATTCAATTATAATGGATAATGAAATTAATGATTTGAAGAATTCATAATTTTGATTAATTAAATAGAGAAATCAATTCTTGATAATAAGTATTTTTGAAAATGTTATGAGTTTTAGAGAAGGATTGAAGATAGGGATAATAAAATAGATCATGAAAGTTATATAAATTAGCAATACATACAGAGATTTACAGGATAGGAATAATGCATTCAATGTTTAAGAAAGAAATGCATTAAATATTTAAATTATATATATAATATAATTAGTTATATTTATATTTAAATTACATTGAGATTATTATTTATTACTTATTTTATTCAACATTGAAAAGTTTATGCAAAACAATTAGTTAATTATTTTTTATTTTAGGTTTAAAAATGGAATAAAAATGTTAACTTTGAATTTTTAATTATAAATAATATGAGTTAAAAATTTAAATTCAAAATTCTAGCTTAATTTTATTGAAAATTTGAAATGAAACAGAAGATTTGGAATATAAGTAGGATTAGAAATATAACATAGGAATTACAACAAACTTTTCGAATGAATTTCATTTGTTTTAATAATTCTACATTTTTGATTGATTTCGTGATAGATTTTTTAGATATTTAAATTTATCACTGCTAAATAAACAGAAAAATGTGAAATATATCAAAGATTTTTATTCAAAAAATTCTTTTCTTTTCTTTGTAATTCCAGAAATCGATGTTGGGCAATATTTAACGCAATTAAAGATTAACGATTACAATATAAAATATTTAAATAGCAATAATGATTAACGATTAAAGTAATGTACAATCGAAATGAAATATCAATAATATAAAACAGGAGATTAATCGTCAATCGGATTTAATTATTTATTTAATATTTATATGCACCAGATAGGGCAACAATTTATATTTTTAATGAACAATTAATGATTAATTTCTTTTACTCGTAAGAATTAATCAATCAATTAAATTAAAATCTTGATTCAATATTTGATACTAGATGATAGAATATTTATAATATATAGAAATAGGTAATTAAATTGATATTATATAAAATAGCATTTCTATATATTTCAATTTTAGTTTGTAATACTATGTTTATAAATATGAAATATCCAAATATTTATAATTTAAAATTTTTAAAAAACTAATAGATTGGAATCATTATATAAAAATAAACTTATATAACTTATTCATATTTTGATGTGTTTCATAGCAGCTTGAAGAGTTTTCATTTCAAGATTCATTAAAATTTTAATTGTTGTATTGTTGTCCAATATTATGATTAGATAACGACCCATACGTTGAGAAATACTGAAGTAAAATAATATTTATATACATACATATCTAATTTCTAGCTACAATGGAAGAGAATTCTATATAAACAAAACTCTCCTCTCTCAAGATATATAAATTTTTTCCATACTTCTAAAGGATTTAAATCTATTAATAATATTAACTCGAACTTGTATGTTTTGAATGAATCTTTGGAATACGATGATTGTTGGATAATAACATACAAATATACACATGTATCGTATATAAATATAATAAAATAATAAAACTTATCTAAATTTCATTATCTAATTATTAGTTATAATCATTAAATAAAAAATGATCCCGTCATTGAATTAGTTTAAAAAAAATTATTTCAAAATAATAGAATGAAATAGAATAGATATAGATATGATATCGAAATTTGATTACTTATTTTCGAAATACATATTTTATTATATACATATATATTCGTATAACAATTTTTGAAACATTATTATGTATTATATCATACAAAGAACAATTCATCGTAAATATATCATGTATTATGTATCATATGTTAATTAATATTGATAAAAGATAATCGATTTAACAGAATCTATCTTGCATTTAACAGAGAACGATATTTTTGATACTTCATTATCTATTATCAACAAAGAATAACCACTTTCTTGGTATTTTGGAAGAAATTAAGAATAGTCGTCAATTTGAAAAATTTTTGAAAAATTTAAATTTTAAAAATCATCAACTCAATGTCTACTAATTACTATATAAAAATTATTATTTATTAAATTATCGTATCATCTAAATATCTATTTTTCCATTTTTAATACTTTTTTATATTAATACAATAATTTTATAAATTCATTTAACTCTTGTATCTTCTCTTTTCTTGCGGCAAGATCATCAATTCTTTCATCTTATACATCTTACCTTCTTAAGCGCACGATTTACGTGGACGATATTGTTTACAGTTGGCACAACGTGAACGAAAGGCGAGAAGAAGAAGAAGAAGAAGAAGAAGAAGGAAAGATCACGCTGCACATCGCCGCCATCGAGAGATTTGGACTTTGGCTCAAGTACTCAAATAGAATCCCGAAACACGGTTGATACAAAATCGCGCGACATCCGACACAATAAGTTCCGGTAAAAGGGAAGAAGAAAAGAAAAGAAAGGAGGGAAAAAAAGCGGTCAAGTGGTGCGCTATACGTAGCTTGACACGGTTCCATATTGGTATATGTGCTGATCGTTCACAGATTCTGTAGTTTATTGCGAAATAGAAGAAACGAGATCATCCCCGATCCTCGAGTGCTGATCGACCTTTGTATTTTTTCTCTCTCTCTCTCTCTCTCTTTTTTCCTTTAAAAATTCGAGAATAGTAAGTTCAATACAATATAACAGAGATTCATACTTATCACCACTTGCGACATCTTTCAGATGCAAGGAGAATTAATGTATTAACGGGAAGAGAGAGCGAGGTGTTCGTTAAACTTTTCACGATTCCACTGGAACGAACTTGGTCCAATTAATGCGATTACTATGCACTGGAAGCCCCACGTTGTCGTAACAAGGATGATCAAATTTTAATTCGAAAAGGGAATCTTAATAGCACCTTGGGATTTTAACCCCGCTCGGTAAAGAACGACTTGTGTGACTTAAGTGGTCGTAAAAAGATACGAAAAGGATAAANAAGAAAAAAGGAAAAGAGAAGAAATAAAGGAAGAAAGGAAAATAAAAAAAGAAAGAGTATATTACGTTATGTGAAAAGCAGAAAGAGAAGAATATTCATGAATGAAAAAGAAACAGCAAGGGAACTCTAACTTCAGAAGGATTTCCCTTTATCATTCAAAACAGCCGGAAGGAAACACATGTGGGAAACAACGACAAAACTCTTCAACTCTTATATGCAAATCGCAACGTTCTCTGAGTTAACAGGGAGTGTGACGATCAAAGGGATTGAAAACTTTCAGACATGTACATGTGCGTACACTTAATCGACAATTAAAGGAGAAGAAAAAGAAAAGCGAGAAGGCAATTTTCTCATTTAAAATACCCACAGTAGAGGAGAGTTTTGTGGAGAAACGATCTCCCCTGTACGTGGAACGGACGGTTCCGGTGAAAAATTCAATTGCTGGCTTGAATCACATCCCTTGATAAAGAATCGCCGGGAAAGGAATTCCCGTTCAAACGCCAGAAGGGTTTCTCTCTCTCCCTCTTGAGAACCTCTGAAAGAATAACCAGTCTAAGCTTCCAGTTCGAGAAGCGAATCTACCTGAAATTTATAATTGATAGGCTATCGAATACCACTTTCCTCAAGAGAAAAGCAATCTCGATCTTGAAAGACGTTTGAAGAGACCAAGAAACCGATCAATCATTCAGACACTTGTTACGCGGTTCATAAAAAGGAAGAAGCTTCATAACAGTGGAAGAAAAGTCATAAAAAAAAAAAAAAAAAAAAGAAAGTAAACCGGATCCCACTTCAATCTCATAAGAAATCTTACAACAAAAATCAACCACTCTGATAATAATTTACTCGCATAACTATAATAAAAAAGAAAGGGAAGATTTAATAACAGATATTAGCGATAGACAAATGGTAAAAAAAGTAATAACAAAGTAGGTAATACTTCGTAACGATGTTCAATCGAACAATTTCAATGGCGCTCGTAGAGCAGTTTTAATAAACAATCTTATCCAACGAAAAGGAAGTTATTTCTTTTTTTTTTTTTTTCAAAACGGTGAAAAGGAAGTCACAAAACACGGCGAACCACTACGATATCCACTACACGGGCTCGTACGCGTATAGCAACGGAGCACCGAGCGTGTACAGCAGCCACTATCCGGCGAACGGTGGCTTCGTGCAGCCTCATCTTCATGAAGACTACCGGCCGATTTATTTTTACGTAGCGCAACCTTATACTATTCCGTATACATTTGCGAAGAGACCGAGACCGCCGTCGTTGTTAAGATCTGGGAAACCTCGGAGTAATTGTCGCGTCAAATTCTCCAAGAGGCTTGGCAATAACGATTTCTCGCAGAAGGTCAAACAAGGAGAGTTTTCGAGGAGTCTTAGTCAGGTTCACTTCGTTGAGAATCAAGGACAAGGTATGCATTTATTTATCATTTTATTTGATCATCTTTTTTATATTAATATTAATGTGTTATTATCTTATACAAATAGAGCTTAAGTGGCCATTATTGTACAATACAATATTTTTTTGTTTTTAAGAACTCATGTTAGATTATTTCACTTGTTTTCAATGAAAAAAGGAAATAAGCATTAGATTGTTCCAAAAGTTCTTTTCGTTATTTGCGTGATTATAATAGTTATGATTTGAGAAATATAGCATGTATATTCTAATTTATTTTTCATTGATATTGGGACATTCAATTTTATTCTAGCTTTTCAAAAATACTAGTGTTAATGTTAAGTATCCTGAGTTCTTTAGCAAAATTTACCAATATTAATGATATTAGATATAGAATTAATAAATTATAAATTAGATTAGATTAATTTTATACAATTTTGAAATATTTTTTCTTTCTCTATCAAAAAATGATCAAATTATTTCTTTCATTCTATATATAATGTATACATTACTATGAGAAAAAGAAGAAACTTAGAATTGTCAACAATTATAGATTATAGATTATACATTATCATATAGATTATAGATCATACATTGGTTATATATAAGTAGGATCAAAAGGATGAAAAAGTTTGCAACCAAAAAAAGTAATTGTACATTTTGGTTGAGACGCTTTCACGCTAACAGATTTTTCTAACAAACCGGATAATTGTTGCGAAAGTGGCATAGTTTCTGTAACATTATTTAAATACTTGCTGTCGTCAAGTAGACTACCGATGCCTACGCGGAGAATGACTTGTTCCTATCTGCAGAGGTAGCACATGTGCAAAACATTTGAAACGATGCTTTGCTGAAAAGAGAAAATGTTTGAAGAGAAAGGAACATTCTCCAAATATAAGGTGTCATTCCAATGACCCGTCAACGATAAACGGACATCGTATTTGGACGTGAGATATGTGTTGTCTTCGAATGGTTTTCACATTTGCACATACAAGGAAACAAGTTGTATGTACTATGCACTAATGATAGAACGACATTTTTTCACGTATCTCTTAAGTTTATGACGCGATATAACATATCGATTAAATGAAATCTTTAATGATAAAATAAAAATCTTGTAAAGATTTTAAATGACTCCAAGATTGAGATTCAATGATTGAGAAATTCTAAATATTTTAATGGTATGAGAATTCCAAAAGATTTTATGAATATAGATTCTAAAAAAATTTAAATAGCTTTTTTTAAAAAAGATTCCCCTTTGGGGAAATTTCTAATTACATGACGAATCAAATTGTAAGAATATAGAAAATTCTAAATATGGTTAAGATTAAATTGGTAAGATTAAATAATATTTCAATAATTCTAGAAATATAATGATATAAATATAATATTAGGAGATTTTGAAATTTTAAAGATTTTAAATATAGAGAAATTTAAAAAGATTTTAAAAGAAAGAAAGGAAATGGCATTAGAAATATGAAAAATTTTTAAAAATTCTAATAATTCTAGAATGCAAAAGGTTTTACAAAGTTTTTGCAATTTAAACATTTGATACTATTAATTTCTTCAATTTTTCCAAAATCTTAATTTCTTTTTTCAATTTATGATATATTAGTAACATTGTAACAGTAGAATTTGCAATCTTTTTTAGAATTTTTTAGATTTTTTTTTAATCATAAATTTTGTCTGATCTTTTGAAATCTTCATAACGCCCAATTGTTTAAAATTTTCTAAAATTCTTTTATATTTGATGTATGAAATTTCTCATAATTTTAAGAATAGGGATAATTTTTTATCCTTATATAATCTTTTAGAAATTTGGATTTCTTGAAAATCTTTTTGAATTATCTGCAAATTTATGAATCAAACTTGTGAAATTTTTAATGTTATATATATGAAAATTACCATTTATTTAACAATTTCTTTACCATCACACGATTTAGATTTATTTTATCTCTTTTCTATTTTAAATCCCTTTTTTAATCCCAATTGTTGAACGACACATTCGTCTCATCGCTAACAACGATGCATACTTATCATATACCAAATTTCATGTACCATAGTTTAATTACACAATGGAATTCCGCGGTACACAAACTTGTTTCCTGTCACAGTATATAAACTTCATTGAAGTTTCACGGGTTGGTCGGTCTCAGAATGGAAGGAATGCGAGTCACGCATCCGGTATTACTTGCCACTTCTTTTCATTTCTCCTCTGTCCAGTGATCTCAAACTATCCGAAGACTGGGTTGCCTCGTGATCCAAGGATGACGTCTATGTTTCGAAGGGGCACGATTTTTGCCACGTTTTTCCTTTCGTTGCTGGGGGGTGGATTAGTCTGCGCCGCATTGGTGACGCAACATTGGGTGGAAGCACGACCCTTCAGAACTCCAAACCCTCAAGAAAGTGCCGGCAGAGTTCACTTCGGCCTTCTTCAAGGAAAGAAGGAATTGAACGTCGCTTATGGTTGGAGAACCTATCATATTTCGGGTAAGTTCTATCAAGAATAATTAATTAGATTCGATTTTTTTTTAATCAAATAACAATTAATAAATAAATTTTATTTAAATTATTTATGATATAATGATCTCAATAGAAACATTTTTTTTTTTTGTATCAAAAGAAATTTGTCTTTGACAATTTTTGAGCTATTATAGGTGTAATATATCTAAAAAAAATAAACGATTTTCTATAGATTATGATCTTATATCTTATGCAATAAGAATGTAGATTTTCTCTTGCATTTAACAGAAAATATTTTATAAACAATAACCATATAAGTTGTTTTTTTTCTATTTTTGTAAAAAAAGAAATAGATTTATCTCTTTCTTGCTATAAATTCTTTGCTATTAATTCTTTATTCGTTTTTTCAATATTCAATAATTAAAGAAAAGAAAACTTATTTACTATTGATTATTTAGAGAAACTTTATATTTTTTCTTTTCTATTATGATTCAATTTTCTTTTTGATGAATTTTATTGTGTTTTTGTTATTATCTACTGTTAATAAACAAGCATAGATAATGACAAAAACAAATGACTTTAAACGAATGAACTTTCTTTATTCATTAATTTTCACAATTGAATATTTTACAATAACTTATTTTTTATGAATTCCTTTTCTTTTATGTATTGAGAAATATTTAATATTAATTGTAATATTGTTAATATTAAATTTAATATAATTTTAAATATGATTGAAATGCTGAATTTCAGAAAAATCCATGTTGTATTATATTACAAATATTATATTTTATATCTTTATATCTTTAGTTTTTATAAATTTTATAGACTTCCTAGAAACTAAGATTAATCAATATTAATCATTATACATATACAATCATTAATTATTTTTCTTTAATAATTTTTTAATAAATAAATTCGATTCATTTCTAATTATTCCTTTATAAGATTATATACTTACTATATATTATATCTTAATAGATGGTAAAAAAGATTATAACAATTATATATTCTTTTCAAGAATTACCTTGAAACTTATCTTTCCATCAGTTTTGAAATAGTTAAATAAATTATTACAATTAATAATTATTTTCTTCTTCTTATATTTCTTTCATCAAACATACATTATTTATACAATAACAAGTACATTATCGAGTATTAATTGAACTTATTTTCTTCCCGTTAAAATTTTCTTTCACATATTGTATTTTAAGATATCTTTATGATCCAAAAATTCATCATCCATTCTCCAGTTTCTACCTATAACAATTAATTAAATTATTTGCAGTTTCGCTTCATTAATGAATATTTGATTTTGATAATAATAACTATCTTGATTGCCTCAATGTTATAAAGATATATTTATTTCAACATTGTAAGAAATATTTCCAATAACAATTTTTCCAACACGAACAAACACGGAATTCAATGGTTTTTTAAACATCTAAAATGCGGGTAGTAGCATCCCGTGATTGCTAAACGCAAAAACTTTCCTACGAGAATAGTCAGTATTGTTTGCTCAATTCAATTTACGATGAAGTTTATGAGTTAAAATACCGGCCACGTAGTTTTTTCGCTATAATCGTGTACTAGACACGTTAAATTATTCAATCTGTTCACCGTTGACTAATTTGAGTTTCTAACGAGTTTCTCACCAACAACTCGTTTTATATAACTTTTCTTCGATGCGAGGGGTGAGAATTTTATCTTGAGAGGACAAGATTATCTTGGACGTAACCAATCGATAATGAACTGTAATAATTATATATTTTATAATTACAACGTAATATATTTTTATAGCTTATATAGAATGTTTCATTTAATTAGAAAAAATTAAATGTCTCACGAGAGATTGAAAAGTTAAAAAAAAATTAAAAAGATATATATATATATTCTCGTAAAAGTTGTTTGATATAATGAGATATATTATGGGATGTTAATTAATTTTCTTTAAATAGATAAATTTTTTTTAATAGAGGTCATACGAAAATCAATTTTAATTTTTTTAAATAAAATCATAATTTTTAATGCACCAGTCGATGTAATTCATTATTTAATATAAGAAAGTATTAAGTTATTTATATCGAAAAATCATTTCATAATTTATATGATAAAGTTCGTAAAACTTATTCTATGAAAGAGAATCGTATATTTTTATTCATGCTTTCCTTATATTTCATATATCAAATTTACAAATAAACTTAGATTGCCAAAGATCAAGAGAAAATTTTATTGTTAAATTTTTTTAAAATGAATTTTTATTTTTATTGAAAAAAATATTTTAAACGTTTCATATAATAATATTTTGTTTACTGAATTAGAGATTTTAATAATGCTTCAAAATTTTTTAATTTGCCTCTTATTTTTATTAAAAAAAATATATCATAGAGAATAAAATTAACGAGTAATGGGAATGTATGTATATATACATATATGTATAATCATTTTCTAAGGATTGCGTGAGATTTTAATTTTGCCAATTCGATATGTAACGATGGAATAATAATAGCCTACGAGTTATAGTCAGAGAATCACACCGAGGAAAATTCTCTTTGGTGCTTCAGGTATCCAATGTGATACTGAGGCCATAAATTGTATCGGATAGTTGGCCAGACCGGAGAATCTCATTCAGCATAACTGTACCTGCACGCGATTTCTGTGGGAGATGGTAAACAGCAAAGTCGCACGTTTATCCGCTATAAATCTACCATTTGATATTAATCGTTACGCTTGGATCAATTTCGTTTCATCCACAATATATTTCATATTTTCGATCCACAAGGTTAGACTTGTTAACTCGCGATAATTCACTCATTCGCTTATTAAGAAATACATACATTGTTTGTGTTTGATCATGATGATGAAATACGAATATTTTGATTTCGTTTCATATATGTTTTGATTCTTCGCTCTTGACATTATTCTTCAATTTAAAGTTTGATTTGAATTATGGAAAAAATTGAAATGACAATAATTGATAATAAAAATATAAATATGAATAATAATTTCAAAATTTTGTTGTCATTGCAATAATTATAATAAATTTTAGAGTTTAATGATTTATTAGATTTAATTTTTAAATATATATCATGCATATATGTTATGTGATAAATATATATATATTATCGGTAATAAATATATATTATAGATTATCGAGAAAAGAACATATTTTAATTGTTGTTTACCTTTTATTACAAAATCTCTAAGATAAATCTTCATAAAAAATCAATTGTTTTTCAATTTAACATATTATTCTTGTACTCAAATTTTCTGTACACCACTTGAGAAAAGATAAACATCTTTCGATCAATTATTTCTACAATCAAAGTTAAGTTTCAATATACTTTCAATATATTAGAATTATTTTTTGATCGTTCTTAAGAATTCTTTTAATCTTCCTTTTAAATCATCTTACAATGCTCTATTATATGCTATGAGACAAAGCGAGAGATAATAAGAGCATACATAAACATTGAATTGCATAACGTAACCTAACCTAAATTCTGTACAAATATCATGCGCAATTTTTTTCATATTTTAAACATATCATAATAAATTTTTTTTATTTAAAATAGATATTAATAAATTCCTTAAATAAATTTACTAAAAAATTTCTTCAAGTTTCATAGAATTATAGAAGAAAAAGAAGAAAAAGAAATGCAATTTATACCTTAAATTAAAAATTAAGTAATGAGTTCACATGTATGAGCCTAAGAATTTTTCTCAGCTTCTCAATCGAACTCGACTAACGAGACTGTTTATAATGCTCGCGTGTCTTGTCATCCTGATACTGAAATCGTTATTGTCGGAGGAAACTGTTATCGTGCCATAAGTGGTGGTACAATGCTGGTCGGGCACTCGAGCGAAAACTTCGCTCTCTTTCCCTCCAAGCATCTTACCCTCAAAGTGAACTCAGTCGGTACACGTAATCCCTAGGGTACGCTGCCCGGCAGCTGAAACATTTGAATAACAATTTTATGGGCTCACCGTGTATAACGGTTCGTCTCACGCACTTCGGTCGCGGCATAATTTTCGCAAGAGACCGGACACAAAAAGCTGTCCTCTAAAAGGGAAATTATATGAAATATGCTTGTTATCTTAACTATGTTTTCATGTTCCAAATTTTTTCGTGACATTGAAAATATATAAATGATCAATTAATCAATTTATCAATCAAATCTATTTATTCAAATGTATATAAATATGATAGTTACGTACTTAGACTTTTAAAAAAATAGCTTAGATTAGGATAAACGATTCTTGGAATTTATAGTGATTGATATTGTATATTAAAATTTATAAAAAAATATTGATATCAAATTAGATTAATTTATTGATTTTTTATGATGTCCTTATTTGATCTTTTTTGAACAACTTTTTCTTATACATATAATTGTCAATTATCTTACAATTTTCAAATGGTGTTATTATTATAATGAATTTCATTTATAAGTATACCTGTGGTAGTGTATACATCAGACATGACAACCACTTAGTAGATATTATACAATTCATTGTTCAAAATGTATTTCAGACTAGATATTTATCTTTATCGTTTCGGTCATTATAATTTCAATCACTCAAATGTTGTTTTATATTTTATTTTCGTATTCTGAAAAATTGAAAATGAAATGCTTAAACATTTAATAAATAAATATTAAAATTTTCACATAATGTTCAAATTTCAATATAGTAATTGTTCAACAATTTTTTATAAACATCTTTAAAAAAGACCTTATTCTCTTATTCTCTCAAATAAAATAAAAAATCATCAATATAGGGTGTCATATATCGATAGATTCATTTCAATATTTTTAAATTATAATCTTTTTTATCTCGTTACGTCTACTCTGTAAAGAAATTTTCACTATATATATATATATATATTTGTTTTTTTTTTTTAGTTTCGTATTGAGTACTCAATCCACAGAACCAATTTCCTTGTAACATTTCTTGTCTGTTCTCGAGATATTCGTTTCTTTCAGTATCCATTTTAATATTGCATTCTAATAGTACAATATCTTTCTCTGCTTCGCTCCTATTTGTTCCCAAAATTTTGACCGTCTATCAAGAACTTCACATTCTCATCGCAATTCATATGAAAATACTTATTCATAGACAAGTTAATTACATATTATATGAGAAAAAAATGTGAGAATTCTTTTTAAAACAACAATTTCGGTTAATCTCATTCAATATTGTTTTTAATATAATTTTTAAATTAACGAATACTTCATTTTACATTCTTTTACAACTTCAAAATTCAATATGCAGATTATAATTATGGAAACTGGAGAATACAGCAGAACAGTAATTAGAGCTTCGTGGCCAAGCAATTTGATCCAGTGGCAACTAAATGTAAAGCATCAACCACATTACCATTCTAATTACAAATGATTTTCATCTTAGAAACATGATATTTTCTTTGTTACTTTCTCGTATTCCTATTCAATAATGATCGATTCTATAAATATCGAATAACAACCGCATTAAAATTCTTCATTGCGGATAATTTCTAAATTAAAAAAAAAAAAAAAATTATATTTCCATTCCACAACATTTAATTTCAATATTAAAATTTAATATCATTCCTTATATTTCATTTTCAATTTTTTTTAATAAGTAACAATAATTATGGATTTAAGAAAATTATAATTTCCAATCTCACATAACACACATAATTTAACAAAATACACAAATAATAAAGTTCATCATTAACGAATATCAAGCTTATTAAAAATTCTTGTTTTAATTAATTTGCATCGAAATATAATCCCTGTTTATCAATCAATTTTGTATATATATATATACGTAAAAACTATATCGAGCTATCATCGTATTAAGTTCAGCCATCTTTCTGTCTCTCTCTTTCTCTTGATAGGGACAATGAGATTCTTGGCACGCATCGTAAAAAATGTTTCTCTTTCATCGAGCTAGAAAATCATCCCAAAGGGACACGTACGATTTGATCGTGTATGTAACGACAGTTGCGTGATGTGCACGATTAACTATCGTATAGTTTACTACCTTTAAACGTGAGGCCAATAACAGCTTTTTCGTTTTATCGTATCTGTTGTATCGGTCATTGGTATGCGTATCGCAATGGGATCAGTGTAAACGTTTATTAATTCCATTCGTCCTTGTCTATTGGGTATAATCAATTGATAATCGAGAAAAGAATTAATTACGCTGATGCACGCAACTAGCATATTCGCTTTGATCATTCATTGAAAATACTGTAATTAATGTTACAAGTGAAAGGGATTTATTATTCTTTTGCTTTTTTTCCCCCTTTTTTTAATGGATTTTTATTTTTCTTGCGAATCACAAGATTTATCTTCAAGGATTCATGAATCGTTAATTATTAATGAAATTTTATATTGATAATCTTTTTTTTTTTTTTTAATGATTGAATACTAAATTATAATTTCTAAAAAAAAATTGATCATAGATAATATAATAAGAAAATAGAAAATCCATTTATTCGATTACATTAAGTGCAAACATATTAATGTTATTAATTATTGGCTGAAAACTTACAATTTAAGATAAAATTTTAAACAATCATAGAATATTTTTTGATATAATGAAATAAAAAAAAAAACAATTTCTTATCAAAATATAGTTAATAATTTCATATCTATTAGTTATTTAAATTATTTAATAATAGACAGACAATTGAGAAATAAGTAATGTATACGTTTCTAATATCTTGTCATCGGAAATTTCATTAGCGGCAAGAACTTTTGCGACATTCATGCATAGAGGCAAACAGAAGAAACGATTGAATGGAGAAAAGAGGCCCGAGGGAAAGATTCCATGCGCGAGAATAACCGAGATGGTTGTAACAATAGGAGCAGAAACTGGTTTCTGAATGTGCAAAAATCCACGACACTGCCTCGTGGTCGACTTTCACGTGTCCAACTGCCTCGTATCATCGACTACTCTCAGATGCTGACCACGGAGAATATTAAAATCCTTTTTCTCAGAAATGATCAAGATTTCACGGTCAACGAAAGTCATGGATTATATTTCTTATATCCTCTCATATTTTATTTTAATTAATTGTGGTTACTTTTATGTATTTTTTTTATTAAATTGTAATATTCATTTTGATCATGTTCGATATTTTTTTTTAGACTTCATCTAATTTTGAAGAATGTCTTTTTCTTAGAAAAATTTCATGGTTAATGAAAATCCTGGACACATATTTTTTTCGTTTTATTCTTGTCGATTTTTCCTCTTTTTATGCTGAAAGTTTATCACTGATCTGATGTTTAACAGTTTTTTCTAGAGGAATTGAATTAGAATTTAATAATTTTCTATTGTTAACAATTGAAAAATGAATACAATGTGTTTGTTATCAATGTGAAATTTCAAAAATTTATATATTTATTATTAAAATTCACAATTGTTTCACGTGTTGGAACTGAATGCTTCGAGTCTACGTCGAAGTCGAGAAAAGTCGTAACTCTTGAAAAATTCTTCGGATGTCCTTTCGTGGACGCAAGTTGTTAACTTGGCGATTCACTGAGAACCTCGCCTGCGGCTAATTAAATAATCCGTTATTTGCGATGCAATATAACTTGAACTGGCCAAAGCAAGAGTATTTACTGCACGTTTAATTATTCATTATGTGCCACGATAACTTCAGTTTGCACGCCAATCCAAAGTGAGATTCGGTTTACTCGGAAAAAGTGGATTCTAAAGTGAATGAAACTTTTTCACAGATAATAATGGATTGCTTAGATTAATAATATGATAATGTTATTTAATAATAATAACAATTCGTTATCTCAAATTAATATAATTTTTAAATATTTATTTTTATTTTTAATTTCATTAATTTTATTAATTATTTATAAGAGTCTTAAAGAATCCTTTTAGAAGATAAATAAAATTTCCTTTAGAAGATAAAATAAATAAATTTTATTATAAAAAAAAATATAAGCAGATCCTGTTTATATTAATCTTTTTATTTTTAATTATGATTCTGTATATGTAGAAAATATTGTGATTAATTGCAAATTTTAAATGTAAATGTTTGAAACATAAATATGAGATAATGAAGTTTGGATCATTGATTTCCTGACACTAAGAAGATTGAAATATTATTATTATACTTATCATATAAAAAGTAATCGTTTGTCTTATTCTAGTGCCTCAAATGATCAAGCAAGATCCCACAGTGATGTCCTGGGGACTTTGGATAAGTACTTTAACGACAACCTCGGCTGCACTTGTCACTGCTGGTCTAGCTGCTTTACTCGCTGTTTTGAATACAGCCACTTCACCTAGATCCAAGATCCTTTCTGATCCTGGAGTATATTTCATAAATATTTTAACATGTAAGTTAAAATTCCTGTATTTTTTTAATATTTATAATCATTAAAATCTTTTTTATTTAAAAAAGAAATTTTTTTCAATTAATTTGAGAATTAAATAAAAATTTATTGAATTATTTGCGCAATTATAATATAAAATATTTGATATACTGATTTATAATTGGTATTTAATTTAGTATTAATGTGCATGGCGAGTACGAGCACTTGGCTGGCGCAATATTACACAAAGCTATACTTCAATGTACTTCCTAAGGAGGACATTGATAATATGTGGACCAGTGAAGGTTCTGCTGAGCTTGGTTATTCATTTTGGTAAGATATTTTTTTATTTTTTTGTTCGAAAACGAGAATATGTTCATAATGGAAAATTTCGACAAAAATTTCTATCAATGATCTTGTATTTTTATTGACAAATTTTATATATTAAATATTAAAATATTTTGTATATTTCAATTCATTATTAAAATTCTCAATAATAAAATTTAACTTTGTCAAATTATGAGTAGTAAATGTAAATCATACTCATAGTCATAATCTTTTAGCTTTCATTGTTGAAATAAATAAATTAAAATAAGATTTCTAATATAAATTAAATTTTTTAACTCTTTCTAAATATATTAGAAAAAAATAAAAAATCTTATTCTAAGATAAAATATAACTTCTTTTTTCTAGTTAATATAAAATTATAAAATTTCAAATTTCACAAAAAATAAAATAGATAATTAACCATTTTAATTTCCGTTTATTATCCTCTTTTCAGGCTCGTTGTATGCGCTGGTGTAGTACATTTAATCAGCATAGCATTGGTCGGTTGGGGCTCAGGACGAGACAAGATCGAACGTCTGGAGACAATTCCGGCATTGGAGGAAAAGACTGCTGCGGCAATAATGCTGTATTGAACCTGGGACTCTTGAGACAGATCTCAGAGACAAGAAATCCATTACAAAAATTACAGAGTGCTGCTCATATCTGTTAGTGTGCGACGAGGTAACAAGGATCGATTAAGCAGAAAGCAGATTCTACTGCAATAATTCTACTATTCGAGAAACGACAAGTTCCTAAATGTTAGCATACTTAACATTGTAGTATTAAAAGGAAACAAAGGAGCAAGCACGTTAATAGAATTATTATATAATAATATAATCTTAATAAAAATTGTAATATAAAATTTTTCTGAAAATATCCAATTTATACAATTCAATTATTCAAGATTATTCGTAACCAATAGACGAATTCGTGAAAAATCAAGATTTTTTATAAACATTTTATCAAATTGAGTGTAGAAATAGCAGATATAATTTTTATCGTCGATTTTTATCAAAATTATGTCAAAATACATTTTGATTAGATCTGTAATTTCCAATTAAATGTTCTATTTGAAAAATATAACCGCGGGATTTTTAGACCGTTGAAATTATCGAAAGTGAAAACTAAGCTATGTAATTGATGATTTTTACACAAAGTTATGGATTTTCACCGTAATATTGCGTAAATTGAAATATTTTGATTAGTATTAATAAAGTTCAGTACATATATATATATATATAGTATATATAGCATACAAAGTATATACTATATATGATGTTGAATTATGCTATATTTTTTTGTAATAGTTGCAAGAAATATCTCGATTAAATATAAATATACAAGATGTTAATATATTTGTAGGATATTCTATCTTTTCTATTAACTTATAAGCAATTTAAGTTTGCAATTCTTTAAAAATCTTCTACAAATATATTAATATTTTGTATACGTGTCAAGCGCAATTTATTCTACTATAATAGTAGTTCTTTTTCTTATCATTGTTGAATTATGTTTGTCAATTTATAATCTAAATATTCTTTTTTTTTTTATTTTTTATGCATCTAAAAACATTCATTTTTGCATTTATTAATCTTTCTTTCTTTTAAAAACTTTCAACATTCTTTTGTTTACAATATGATTAATAATTAGAATCTAAGAAAAATAACATATATGCACATCTTGCCTTTTAGATGAATAATAAAATAAATGACGTGTTTATATTTTTTATCCATATGTTTGTGGTTGTGCTTATGTTACGAGGCGATTAAAAAAAACTTCATAGGTTGTAAATAGAAACGGAGTTTGATACTCTGTAGTGATTTATTTATTACGTAGTATCTTAATTAACTATATCATAAATGTAATAAAACAATTAAAAAGACAATACAGATAAGATGCGTAGATCTGCATTTATACCATAATAAAAAGGTTTGCTTTTACATTTGTCTCAAAACTTTGTTGCATTATCATACAAGCTAAAAATCGTTGCCTCGGATGTGTGCGGAAGATTATTGTAGATCTTTCTAAGTCACACAATTATTTATTTTACTTTCTTTTTTCAGAGAGAAGATATTACGGCGATTGTATTCCGGTTTTATAAAAAATTAACGTAATAATTAGAATACAAGAGAACTTTATTAACGTTTTGAGACTTTTAACCTCTGTCATTAAGTTAGTCTAGCCAATTCAATATCGTCAATATTCATACTATTCTCCAATCCCTTCTTCTCTGTACATTAATTCATATTTCATATATATATATATATACTGTATTCAAGCTTTCTGAGTTTTTTCACTTTCTTTTTTTTACAAATCTAATAAACATAATGCAGTGTAGTCGATTTAGTCGAATTCTTGTCATATTAGAAAAATCATAAAAACTTAATCTTATCATTGGCTATTAACATTGCATTTCTTTTTTTTTAACTTATGACGAATGTATGAATTGGCTATGACCCATACATTTTTGTGCTTTTTCCCGATACTCTTATTACAAGTATATTCGGAGAGAAATGAAATGGTGCACAAAACAGTAGAGTTGGGCCCATCAAGTACTTTTAGGCAAAAGTCTAACTGCATATTATGCACTGTTCTTGAAGAATAATAACGTTGTTTCTATAGATTGTTGCTGACCCCGTGTTAACGTCGGCTCACCTGTGACCAACCTGGTCCATCATCTTCTGGTGGTCGTTTTCTTTCGTCATGTTTTGGTGGAAGTCTGTCATCTTTAGAATCATCTCGTCTATTAATTTAAAGATTTTTTTAAATGATTTATATATATTATATTTAAAATAATCACATTAATCTATATTATTAAAATTAATATCTGAATTAATAAAAATATGCTTACTTTTCATCACGTCTTGGTAAGTCTCGAGGTGAATTTTGTATTGCATCGCTTTTATCGCGCCAATTTTGACTGCTAATATTACGCATCGTTTCTTCACGACGATGACTACCACCACCACTGCCACCACCACTACCGCCGCCACTACCACCGCCACCGCCACTACCACCACCACCACCACCACGGCGATCAGGCATTCTACCACGATTACGAGGTCCATCAGATATTGGATCACGTGAAATATCACGCATCTGTGAAATTAAATACGAACATGTTTTATTTATAAATTTATTAAAAGTTTTTATATTATTTTATACTTACTGAACGTCCATCCATTCCACGATCTTTATCTATTCGATCTCTATTATCCCTTGTATCATCTTTATCATAATCATCTTTTCTCCATCTTTCGTTGGTATCTTTTTTCGGTTTATCATCATCCTTACGCCATTTATTGTCCATATCTCTTGCGTCTCGTCTTTTCCAACGAGTCGATTCTTCTTTAATACCGTCATCTTTTGCATCAACAGGACGACGCCATGACATTTCGACTATAATCAAATAAACAGTATAAAAATTATGTAATCTCTAAAAAACTATAAAAACATATAATATAAATAAATATATATACCTGGTTTTTCTTGCATACGATGACGATCTCCACGTCTCCACCTATCAGATATTTCCTTATCTCTCTGTCTCTCCTCTTCTAATTTTCGTTCTATTTCGGCTTCTCTAGCTCTAGTAATCTCTGCTTGTTTTTCAATTTTGGCTAAACGTTCAGCTTCCCTTGCTTCTTCTTCTGCACGCCTTAATCTTTCTTCCTCTTCTCTCTTAGCTCTTTCTTCTTCCAAACGTCGTTTTTCTTCTTCTTGTTTGATTCGTAATTCTTCTAGACGTCTTCTTTCAATAGCTTCAGCTCGTTCCTTCTCCCATTTGGCTTTGCGTTCAGCTTTACGTTCCATCTTACGTTTTAACAATCTGCTAACTCGTTCTTCATTCAGCACTTTTTCGAATTCTTTTAGTTTTTCTAAATAAATACTCTTACGCTCGGCCAAAATCTTCGCCAGGAAAATATCATGATCTTCTTTCATTCTTGCCATACGTTCACGAGTCGCGACAGCCTGCTGTCTTTCCTCGATAGCCGCAGCAATTCTTTCAGCTTCTTGCTGCTCCCAACGTTGCTTAGCTAATTCCATTTTTTCTTCAACTGCTTTTTCTAAAAGTGGAATTTCCTCTAAACGCTTGGCACGTTCCAAGTAATCAATTTTCTTTTCCTGAGATTTTAATTTTTGTTGCATTTCCCTACGTTCTTTCTGCAATTCCTCAGCTTCTCGAGCTGCGATTTGTTCTGCATCTAATTTCTTGATTTCATCCTCATCCAATTTCTTTAAAACTTTCTGTCCATGACTAGTTTGAGATATTTGTTGCATCTTCTCTTTCAAATGACGATCCTTAATCTGTTGGATCTCGCTTTGTTGTCGTTTTCTCTCGCGTTCTTCTCTCTCTTGTTCAAGTCTTTTTTGTTCTGCTAACATTTGCTGTCTTTGTAATTCTTCTTGTCTTCGCATCTCTTCTTCTTCACGAACTGTATTTATATGTTCTATGTATTCCTTTCTTTCCTCTATAATTTTATGCCTTCCTAATATTCTTTGATGTTCCTTCATTTTGGTTTCATGATAATGGCTTACCATGGCGGCACGTAATTTTTCACGCTCCATCTTTTTTTTATTTGGATTAATAATATTAATTGCACGATGTAATACAGTAGCCATATTTACAAGTTGACAACGAATTTGTTCAGAAGGCATTGCTTGTAACACGGGACCATCAGGATGATCTTCCCTCTGCGCTTCCGACAAATCGACTCCGAAATGCACACATTTTTTCCCGTGACTAATTCTTATTTGCATATCATTGTATCTAACGCAATCTACAAGTAGACGTTCCAAATGGAAATCTGTCGTAAATTTAGCTAGTTCCAAAAGCCTAGCAAATTTTATTGTTTGATAAACTTGTGATATCTGATGAACTAAACGTACAAGAGTTACATCTTGCAAGGCTGGGATATATTGAATCAAAGGACTGCTTTCATCTGCTTGTAGCGTCTGAATAACGGAATCTACTCGGCTACATAGCTCTAAAGGATGAAACTCAACCTCAAGCCACGAATATAATTCTTGTAATTGCGGTGATGCTAAATTGACTATATTTAAACGAACGATATCTTTAAGTAAGGAAACTCTTGTTGGTGGTTGTGTAAGTCCTAAAAGCGTTGCGAGTTTTTGAGCTTTTTCTAATGGACTCTTGTCTGTTTCGATAAAACGATCAAATTCAGGATGAGCTGATGGCAGTGGGATAGACAAGGTAGCCAATAAGACACGATTGGCCATTCTTTGTTGTTCCTCCAAAGACATATTCTTTTTCATTTCACGGGAAAGCTGCAGCAATTTAAATAATGCGGCAGCATGGAAAAGATAGTTTCCTGCTTTCCAGAAAACCATAGCCAATTTTTGGTAGTAATTGGCCATGGTTTTTGGTACTGGAAGTTTCTTAGATAAATTCATCATACCATGTACATCTTCAGAGGACTTGAATGCTTCTTGCCATAACTCCATTTGTATTGCAGAATCAAGTTGGTTCAATCGCGTTTCTAAGTTCAGTTGTTGTGTCTCAGCTCTATTCATGGAAACATTAGAAACAAGCGCTGGTAATTTACAAATTTCTTCTAAGTGTTTTCGTAATTTTTCGCATAATTTACGAAATTCAGTCTTACGATTATATTCAAGACAAAATTGGAAGGCCATGCGTGCAATATCATGATATAATGTTTCAACATGAGCATTGGTTCTTAATAATTCTAAACACTGGCAATAAGATTCCCATAGAAATTTCACCCATGGTGTGAGGATAGTGCGGTCGCTTCGGTCTTGAGCATCTTCACCACTAACCGCCGATAATAAAATACTTTCTGGAGTGGCTAAATTGTCAAGATCATCTATATCTATAACAGCTTGTTGACTCTGCTTTCGTGCTTGATTTGTTTTCTCTTCTGCCATACGTAAATATCCACGTATAACATTTTCTAAACTTCCAACATTCACTGATTGGAACATATTTCGATATTGAAATAGGCCCTCCTTTGCTATATGTGATTTTTTTAATTCTACACATAAATCTAGGTATTTGAACATTATAGGTTCTAATACCGATTCTGACCAATTGTATGTCCATTTTTTGTTGCGGAAGACTTCTTGCAAGGTATCTAATGCTCGAGCTGGCTTTCCTACTTCAATGAATTCTGTCAAAAAAAAAAAAAAAATAAATGTTTTTTTAAGCTTTTAAATAAAAATAATTTAATAATTATTTTGATTTGTAATTTATTGATTCAATATTTATAATAATTTAATATAAATTCTTATAAACTATGTTAATAGTTATAAAAAATATAGGTCAAGTTTATGTAATAGAATAAATAAATAGATATAATACTATCAAAGTCAATTCAATGTTAATAACATAAAAAAAGAAAAATTTTTAATTTTCAATGTCTGAAGAGTACAAAAATTTTTATCTATTTTATAAAAAAAAACATTGAATTCATCAAATAATTCATCAATAAATTAAAATAATGTATGTAGCAAAAGCAAATGTTATATTTTGTTTACTATTGCATTTTGTTCCCGAAGTGCTAATCTTGCACGATTATTTTATTTTTGGTACATATGGTTAGACATTAATATTTTTAAAATCTAGAGACATGATAGACGTGACTGTAGACAATATAAACGTTATACAACAAGTAGAAAATATCACTTATATGATTAACCAATATTGTATAAATATGCATTGGAGGCAAAATAATATGGATTGTGAAATTTTTAAATAAATAAAATAAAAGAATTTTTGAAATGGATTAAATAGCTATCGGCCATGTCATATCTTGTTAACGAAGTAGTATACGTACCATTTGCTCTTTTTAGAGCATTTTCTGGTCTTTGTCCATATCGCGCCATTTTTTCAGACGGATATAGTTAATTTCACACCATACAACTTATCGCAAAATCCGCTAATATATATGTAAAATCTAGAATTTACTTTTTTTTACCACGCGACGTTTGTCACAGCGGACCTCGACCGCGTGTACCGGATGAAAGACGGCTATTACAGAAAAATGGCTTCCTGTAATATGTAAGTCAAATCAACAATTTCGTTTTTAAGTACTTTAAGAATAATTAATATCAATAAAATATTTTAAAAAGAACAATTAAGTTTATTATTCTTAATGTGTAAATAATAAATATATTAAAGTTATTATAAATATTTTAAAGGTTTCGATTATCTATGAACAAGAATAATATGCAAATTTGACACTAGATGTCGTAAAGACCTATTTCTTGAGTTTAAATTTAAATTCTTTAGATTTTTTTTAAAATTATAATCAAAGTACTACAATAAATATGATGAAATCATTTATTTAATTAATATAATTAAATGAATATATTTATAAAAATATATAAAATTACAATAAAAATAAATTTTCTGCTATAGCCAAGTTAATTAAAAAATTTTCTACTGCAGGTGGTAAATTTTTTTCTTTTAATGTTTGCGCTGATACCATTTTTCTTCCATCAGGACCTTGAACTACAGCTAAAGATTTCAGCTGATTCAATAGATCTTGAGTTTTATCATTTATTTCAGATATTATTTGAGTTTCTATATAAGATTGATTTTCACTTAATTGAATCATAAATAAAGCTATTTCTTTGTGTGTTTTTGTCATTGTTAGGCTTTCTAAAAAAGTAATAGTAATTTTAATACAATATATTTATAAAAGTAATAGTGTTTCAAAGTGTTTTTACTTAATTTTTTTTTTTACCTTTTGCATGCGAAGCAACTGTAATTTCTCTGGCTGGAATATTTACAAGTAAATCAAATAAATCTGTTCTTGATGAAATAGAGCTATTTCTACAGCCTGCAATGTAATATGACTGTCCCTATAAAAAATATAATTATGAGTTTAAATTTATGATAATTTTAAGTTATATATAATAAGTTATGTATTAATATACTTTTAGTTCTGCCAATTCATCATCAATTAAATCAATCCAAGGAAACAAGTTATCAGTGACTTTGCGATGTTTCATCAGTGCAGGAAATATTCCAATCCATTTCAGTAATTGTTCTAAACTATGATGGTAGACTATTATTCTTTTTTTTAGAAGAAGAGCTGTATATATCAATATTGTTTCTAATTCAAATGTTTTAATCATTTCTCTAATATTTGTATTTGTTATAAAACAATGACTATTAAAATCATCAGAAACAAATGTTCCATTTTCTTGAGTAGAACATGAGCCTTTTGTAAATACAGATAAATACAATTGTAATATTTCTGTTGGTTTTCCAGTTTTACAATACATTTTGCTAAGGACTCTTGACAATACTTCATATTTTCTTGGATTGAAATCCTTGGCAAATAAAATCAATGCGAATTGCTTCACCTATTTTGAACATAATTTTGAGATACATTTATTAACTATATAATATAATATCTATATAATTATTTTCATTTTTTTAAATTGTATATAATTATTTTTTTTTTAAATTGTATAACTTACTTTTGGTAATTTGTCTGAATCAAATACTTCACTACAATGTATATAGAACCAATCATATTTATGTCTTGAAAATACAAATACTTGGGGAGAATTATGTTCTACTTCTAAATTGCATTTTCTTGCAACAACTGTTTTTTGTGACTCAGAAACTATCGGATAAGACCATGTCCATAATATATCACCATTAGAATCTTTTTCAATTATGCTACATGATAGCAAATCTGTAAGAGGTGCCATTTCGAAAATACATATGTTACTGATAGATGAATTCGTCAAATAACATTAAAATGAACAGACATCATATTAATCTATTTATAATTCTTTTTATTAAGATATTTAAACAATATGTAATCATTACATTTTAATATAAGTATTTATACTATGGATACATATTAAAATAAAACTTGTTAAATATGACGTTTCTTAAGGTTATATTTCACATACAGATTATATTAATATAAACGAAAGATAGGATAGATCCAGCGTTGCCGAAGTGCTATGTACGTAGAATCTGATATTAGATTCACTATTTTGTAGTATTACATAGTACGTTCTATCATCAGGTAGATGGCGTCGTCAAATTTCTTTTAATTTGTTTCCTCTCTACTACTCCCATAGCATAGAGTTTAACGTTAGATATTAGCATCTCTGGGCAATAGATTTTTGGAAACTTTTCATTTTCATTTAAGGAGTGAGAGTGTCATTCGAAATGAAATATCGATCGTGTAAAAAAAAAAGACTTCATGATATTTTGGAGTGATGACTTTAGAAATTATATTGAAATTCGGTTATCAAAATTAATAAATTCAATATAAAATAATTAATAAAAAAATATTATTTTGTTATATTCCAATATAAATATGAATGTATTCATATTAATTTTAAATTTCGTATTCATTTTAAATTTCTTGAAAATATATGAATGTTGAATAGTAAGATAAATTATTTTCTCATTTTCTATTAATAAGAAAAATATAAATTTCTAATCTTATTCGTAAAAAAGATTTTAAAAATCGTATAAATTAATTCACAAAATTATATACTATTAGAATGAATATAGAATATGAATATGAATATCACAGCAAGGTAAGAATAGATCCATATTCAATGGCATTTTTTATTGCATATTCTGAAATATCGATCATACAAAATATCAAGTTTTGATATATCTTTTACGATTTAGATTTGGATTCATTAGAAATGAATATAGGAATTATATCTTTAATTTAATCACGAAAATGATAAGAAGAAACAAAAATTAGAATATATCTATAGATATAATACGTTTTTGTTACATTTGTTACAATGTATTTATACATTTTCGTTATATTTTTATACATAATTGTTTATATGCATACATGTACATGCATATATACGTACATATTATATATAAATTTAAAAAACTTGATAATTTTTATGTAAATAATAAAATTATAAATGAAATGTAACATATATTAATAATAATTAAAAGATATAGTATACTAATAATAATATTTTTTGTTTTACGATTTTACAAAGCAAAATATGATAAGATTTTTTTATATCTTAAGAATTTTAGTGATTTTCCTAATTTATTTTTATATATATGTAACATTAACGATTTAGTATAAAAAATAAATATAATATTAATGACGAATATAGCGATTGGAATTTAAATCTAATTTTTAAAACTAATTTTTAAATCTAATTTTTAAAAACTATAAATAAAATATAAATCAAATTTATAAGAAATAAAGTACATAAAAATTTATATTTTTTGACTTGCGCACATTATAAATAATTGATTATGAAACAATTAATTATTACAAGTAATTCTAAAGACAATTTATTATATCCTTAATTTTTTCCACTTTTATTGCATCAAATTTTTATTTTCAAAACTATTAATATAATGAACATGATTTTTTTTTTATTCATGAAGATTAAATAAACAAATAATTATCTTTTAATTTTTAATATAAAAAAACTACTTTATTCATTTATTTGGCAATTAATTTATTACTATTTACTTATTTATTTATTTATATATTTATATTTATTTAATTAATTGAGAATATATATATATATTTCATTCATAAATTATTATAAAAATTAGATAATCAAAAATTAGACTATTATTATATTATTATATTTAATATATTTTAATTACTTCAATTAATTATATTAAAAGTAAATTAATAAAATTATTTTAATAAAAATTAAAATAATATTGTAATTATGATAATAATTTCATTATTATGGTAGATATTCAATATCTATTAGCAGTAGTAATAAATAAATTTTTTAAAAAATTTAATATAAATATTTTTTTAATTAATTGTATAAATATATAAATAAATTAATAAATAAATAAATAACTCAAAAAATAAATGATAAATATATAAATAACTAAATAAATAAAGATAAATAAATTGACAAATTTATTAATCAAATAATATAAAATAAATACAAAAATGAACAAAAAAAAATCAATCAAATAAATTACTAAAAAAAATAAATATATAAATAATTAAATAAATTTAGAAATAAAAAGAAATAAATTGATGCATAATAAAATAAAGAATAAAATATATAATAAATTTTGAGTAATTAATAAATAAATGAATCGACAAATAATCAATAATCAAATGAATGACATAATAAAAGAATATATAATATAAATATAAGAATATATAAAATTTAATAAATAATTAATAAATTTCTAATATTTATAAATTAATAAATAATAATTTGCTTTTAATATATTTTTAATTGAAATATATTATACAAAAATTTAACCTTTCGCATGATTTTAATTGTAGAATTTATTTACGATTCTAACCAATCAGAAAGCTGTTATTTGAGCTGTAGCGCGCGATGTCAGTCTTCTATAGAATGTCGTTGTTATAGGATGTGTGATTATAACCGGCTTTCGTGATTCAATTACGCAGTAAGTAATTCTATTCATAATCATAATTCATAAATTGCTATCAATTTTATGTAATAATAATTCATTTATCATTGTAATGAAATTAATTAGTGTTTTTCTATATGCTTTTTCTGTCTATTATTGAGGTTATCGGTAGTTTATTGTTCCTTAAGTAGAAACTTGAATTTACTTTCTTAAAACCTTTTTTTTATATATTTTATTGTTTTGATTTTTATTAGATTGTCGTTCAATTCTTTCATGAATAATTCAGGAATAATTTCAATGAAAAAATGAAAAAATGATTTATAATATACATATATATATATATGCAATAATTTGTAATTGATGTTTTATTTTTTTTAACAAAAATAGATTTATTTTAGATTATTTTATATAATAGATTATTTCTATAATTTTTTTAATTATATTGAAATGGATATATAAAGTCAATTTTATTTTATCAAATTAAATTATATTAGTAATACGTATTGCGTTTCTAAATATATCTATATATCATATTTATATATTTCTGTTTTTCCAAAATTATACTCGAGAATGATAACATTTTTTTATAATACAGCCTTCTTAAAAAATTTTTTTTTG